GCCACGTGATGGGGATCATCTGGAGTGCCTAGGCCGGGAGGTGAGACTGCCGAGCGTAGTACTGACACCCTTCGCAGGTGTGTACGATTTGTTCGGCGTCGGCTACTGCAGTGGGCCAGTAGAAGCCCTGTCGGAATGCGTTCCCAACCAAGGTTCTCGGCGTGGCATGGTGACCGCAGACCCCACCGTGGATATCGCTCACAAGTCAAACCACGATACCAGGACCATACCCTGCACGGAACAGTACTCCGCAACCGCTCTAACACAAACAGTATTGTGGGCGCCGACGTTTCCCTCTATAGTAAGTGACCAACTAGTGAATATTTGTAGTTTTGCCGTACGTTATGATCGGAGGTGGTCTAGCACTCAATGACACATGATTTATACTGGTTCAGGCAACATGCCCTACGTCCAGTTTGGGTCGGTCAGTGACTTTATTCCTGAGCCCAGATGCTCGAAGTCTGCAGTGGGGTTACAAACGAGAAGGAAAAAGATGGGGTGTACAAGAGGTCCGGTCGGCTCTGGTCGGAAGGGCCGAGAGCGACAGGAGCCACGCTATGAGCTAAGTGTTCAAGCGTGTGCTTGAGGTCCGAACCCGACGATTCTGTGGTTGTGAGCTAGTGAACTTGATCGATGTCGATTAACTAAATGGACTCTCTCTCGTTGGAGGGAGCACATCCTCTTTTATAGATAAAGGGAATGGCTTTACAAGTGAGAGGGTGAGGGTACGTATGCTACTGAGCTTTGTTGCCTATGCTAGCGGGTACAAGATAATGATAGGCGTTCACAACACTGTTGATGTCACTGTAGAATGTCAGATGTTTGTGGGAGGCTGCGTTGCCTTCTTCAGGAATGGTAGATGTCGGTATCTGCAAATACTGTTTGATGCCTAGAGGCATGTGAGGAGTTTCACCATGTTCACCTGATACGGTAAATTCTGGATTTTTTCTCACAATAAAACAGTTTCAGCCGAATAGGCCTGACATCCCCTCCCTATTGTGTTCTTTCCACGTGTACAACTTGCTGGCTTGCTGTGCGCGTGTGCCAACAACACCCTCTGCGCCAGGTGTTGTCACAGTTTGGGTGACGACCTAACACTGCATGCTTATCAGTCATAATATAATATTTTTTTTTCACAATAAAATAGCATCAGCTGACTTATAAGCCACAGAAACAATCAAGCGAAGAGTGCTCGTTGGCTCACCTCAGTTTAAATCTACCGCACCAGTTGTGTCTAAATTACGTTGTTTTGGCTTTGCTGAATACAAAGTTTTTATTATACATCTAAATTTATGATATGTTTAAATACATAATAACAATTGTCTTCCGAAGGCAGTACAAGGGGGCTGTCTCGGATCATCATTGAGACGGATTGCGTCTGTATCTCCGGAAGTGACATGAGAGATAGGTTTCATCATAGACGAGGCAAAAGGGCTCACGTGCCTTCTCTATGAATGGAAGATCTCACAGATAAAAAGAGAGTGATCAAGTAGTAAACATCTTAGCAGCTTTCGCTAGTACAAATTCTAAGGAGACATGGTGGGGGCAAGCACCTACGTGTGTTGAGGAAGCTCTCGCCGCCGATTGTACAGACATTTTTCCTAGCTAATCGAAAGCTCTCTCTCTGCTTGCAAAAAAATAACAATTATGTATCCTGAAAAGTTAAGACGACCTATATATAAATTAGAACGAAGAAAGTACATGGGAGATATAGTGCCGAAAGTAACTCGCTAGTGAGCCAACAATCGCTGGGCTCGTACCCTTCTCAAGAAACTTTCAATTTGCTCTCTCTTGTTCTTTTGCGTACACCCTTAGATGTTACCAGCTTTTTTGCTTTTTATTCTTTCTCAGGGCCACATCAGCTAGCGACTTCTAGTTAGCCTGTTTGTATAATCTCATGAGGAGATGCAAACCTTGCCACATGAATGAAGACACTAAATTAGCAAAAATAGCTCTGATGTCTGGTAGATTTGAGAACGGGAGAGTGAGTGAGAGAGGAAATTATTTGTTTAACGTTGACACCAGGTGCAAAAGTAGAAAACTAGTAGTTCCAAAAGATTCCTCACTAGCACCTCACCTATTTTTTTTTTCTCTCTCCTTACACCAAAGCAACTCTAGCAGTACACGTCAAAACAAGGTCCCTACTTTTTATTTGAGGGTTTTCTTTTCCTCCACTTTTGAGGTCCCTATTTTCTAGGTTGCACTCTAGCAGTGGTCCTCAAGTTCGTTCCAACAGAGAATGACACCTAGGACCCGCTTGTCAATGACTTCCTCGGCTAGAACACTAGGATTTCGAGGGAGGAAGAGCACAGGTCGCACGCCTCATTGAGAGAGGTTGTCGGGAGAGGGAAAGGAACTTCGTCGGGAGAGAGAAGGGAACCGAGAATCAGAGGAGGGGGAGGCGGCCACTGGAGTCAGGAGAGGGAAGTAAAGTGGCAATTGGAGGAGGAAGCCGACCTCCAGAGACAGGGAAGAAAAGTAGGGGCTCCCTCTAGACCTCTAAAAAATGAGGACTTGAGGGGGATATTTGAGGGTCTCCTACTTTTGAGGGCCACAGTAGGGACCCTGTAGAAGTGAAAGCTCTAGTTTGGTTTTGGTGAATTGATGAAACCCTAAGTGCTAACCTAGTTTATCAAGTGATCATGATATAGGTAGCACACTCCAAGTGGTGAAGCAAATGAAGATCATAACATGATGATGGTGATGCCATGGTGATGATTAAGTGCTCGGACTTGGAAAGAAGAAAGAGAAAAACAAAAGGCTCAAGGCAAAGATATAAATTGTAGGAGCCATTTTGTTTTGGTGATCAAGACACTTAGTGAGTGTGATCACATTTAGGATCGATAGCCGTACTATTAAGAGGGGTGAAACTCATATCGGAATGCGGTTATCAAAGTGCCACTAGATGCTCTAACTCATTGCATATGCATTTATGATCTAGTGGAGTGCTAACACCCTTGAAAATATTTATGAAAATATGCTAACACATGTGCACAAGGTGATACACTTGGTGGTTGGCACATTTGATCAAGGGTGGTGAAGTTTAGGTGCATGGGCAAGAAACTCCACCGGCGGAGTGTCCGCCCGTAGAGTGCGGACAGTCCGACGGTGCCGTCGTCGCCCTAGACAGAAAAGACGGAGGTCACTGTAAGTGATTGGACGCTGGTCTCGGTTGGACCGGCGCGTCCGGTCAGTGGCAGCAGAGGGCATGCGTTTCGGTCTCATGACCGGACGCTGGGTCGCTCAGCGACTGGACGCTGGCGGGGTACGTCCGGTCAGTGCTGACGTAGGGCGTACAGAGGAGAGGTTGTGTGACCGGACGCTGGCTGTGTCCCGTCAAGCATGATCGGACGCGTCTGGTGGGGAAAAATTACGTTTGGAACCTTACTGGAAATGACCGGACGCTAAGGTCCAGCGTCCGGTCACTTTCTAACTGATGCGTCCGGTCAGTAGACGACCGTTGAAATCTGACGAACAGTATTTGAAGCCGGGGACACGTGGCGTGAATCACGTGACCGGACGCTGAAGGCCAGCGTCCGGTCGATCGGACCGGAGCGTCCAGTCACCCCACATTGTGCCCAGTGAAGGGGTACAACGGCTCTATTTTATGGGGGCTTCTATTTAAGCCCCATGGCCGGCTCAAGTTCATTCTCTTGGCCATTTGCATTGACATAGCAACCTTGTGAGCTTAGCCAAAGCCCTCCCACTCATCTCCATCATTGATTCATCATCATAGTGAGATTGGGAGTGATCCAAGTGCATTGCTTGAGTGTTTGCATCTAGAGGCACTTGGTGTTCGTGTTTCGCTGTGGAATTCGCTTGTTACTCTTGGTGGTTGCCGCCATCTAGACGGCTTGGAGCAGCGAGGATCGTTGAGTGGAGGGTGGTGATTGTCTCCGGCTCCAATCGTGGTGATTGTGAGGGGTTATTGACCTTTCCCCGGCGGAGCACCAAAAGGTACTCTAGTGGATTGCTCGTGGCTTGTGTGATCCTCATCTTGTGTTGGTTGTGCGGCACCCTATTGAGGGTTTGACGTGTGAAGCCAATTAGCACGTGAACCTCCAAGTGAGTGAATCACCACAACGAGGACTAGCTTGCCGGCAAGCAAGTGAACCTCGGAAAAAAATCATTGTGTTCATCATTGATTCCGAGGTGATTGGTCTTCATTGTTATCCACACTTGTGATTGATTGATTCATACATCTACACGACGGTATAACCTTCTTGCCTACTCTTTACATTACCGCAAATTAGTTGTCAAGATCTTTAGTGTAACTAGTTGTGAGAGCTTGTTAGTTTGGTTAGTGTGGCTCTTTAGTTAGCTTTTGAGAGCACACTAACTTAGTGTAATGATATAGCTATTGTGTGGATATACTCCATTTAAACTAGAAATATGGTAGGTGACTTGTATTTTGGTAGGCTAGCGCAAAACCCGCTTCGCCTCGTAATTGTCTAATCCGTTTGTTTATTGTTGTTGTAGAAATTTTATTAGGCTATTCACCCCTTTCTAACCATTAGGACCTTTCAAATAAGTGATTTTTTTTTTCATCTCGGCTCTTAAAAGTAGGATAGAGGTCTGAGGAGTTACTCTTAGCATGTACACTCCTACATGCACCCTGTTAGCAGGTACATTGAAGCTTCTTTATGAACCGCTCTATACCCAACTTCTTGACTCCGCCAAACCAGATAGGAGGATGAGCAACAGCCGCCCAAAATTCACGCTGGGGAGAGGTAAATGTGTGTCTACTCTATTGCTCAAAGCACTCGTCACCAGATCATACACGAAGGTGATCAACATGTGAAAATAAAGTATGTCTTGTATTATGGGGAGCATTTATTTAATTATTATTATACAAGTATGTACTACATATACACATCCGATCCATTATTTTCTTGTCTTAATTTCCCGTGCAAATTCAGTGTGCGCCTGAAGAAACGTTCCTGCCGCCTAGCTATATATAGTAGTACATGGCAGAGGGCATGCGTGCGTGATCACCTTAGCTAGCTTCTTGTTGCATGCATTGGCTGATCCGGCCGATCTGATATGGGTGTGAGGTGAATGGGGCATCCGCTCTTGAGCCTGGGAAACATTGCCCAATTCTCAAGGCTTGGGTCCTCGTCGGCCATCTCCCATCTGCAATCATAAGAGAAATACTACCAATCAGTTTGTTGTGTATTCGTTCAATTCATTGTTGGTGCTGCCTGCTGTGTGCTAAATACTATTCTACTCCTGAGTACGTTGGAACCTCCTTAATTACCTCCAATTTGTAACAAGGTGGTGCAAAAAAATGAGCATCATGATTTTGGCGAGGTTCATCCCCAGGCAGGTTCTCCCGCCTGCTCCGAACACCAGGAAGCTGTACGGAGCTTGCTGCTTCGTATACATATCCTCCCCCTGTTCATATGAGTGCAGCGTGCTAGACAATCAAATCGTTTCATCATATATAGTGTGTATATGGTAGGGGTTGAACGACCTAAAATTAATCAACTTAATTACCTGGAATCTTGAAGGATCAAACATGGTGGGGTTGTCGTAAAGCGTTGCATCATAGTGTAGTGCCCTCGCATCAATGTTCACAATCCACCCCTTGTTGATGTGAAACCCTGTGTGTAGTGCTTATATGTTGTTTGTCAATACACACACATCTCATAAAATGCTAGCTTTCAGAAAATGAAAACGAATGAAATCGGCAGGTAGATAAAATGGAAGAGTGGATGTATGTATTACCTGCAACCTGGCAGTCCTCGAGTGCTACCCTTGGAAACCAGGAAACTATGCTCGCCATCCTCAATGATTCTTTCACCGTCTACGATAGATGATGGTGCATGCAGCAAGAATATATCCAGATTACATATATACTCTGTAAATTATTCCGATCCGTAGCTAATACTGATAAGGTAGCTATAACTCCTATATGGGTGTATCAGATTTACAATAATAATTGTGGATGTTGAGGCTATCTGGAGTGGAGACCGACCATGTATGCAAGCTCCATGCTGTTGAGATGTTGGAGCGTGAGGGGGGCATCCGCATCCGCATCCCTATCTGCCTTGTGCTTCAGTGCCAGCTCCAGCTGAACCGACTGCATGCATAATAGTACATACTTGTGCTTCAGTTTGCATCAAGAACAAGAAAATGGAGGTACTAGCATATATACTGCCTGCCATATTATATACTGCCGGCGGCGTGGTCGGACCGACCATATTACGACAGCAAGAACAGATTCAGATTCGACATTCATTTCATTTCATTTCATTTGGACTGACTGACCGACCCACCGTACCGTACCCTTAAGGTTTCTTGGAAGTCTTTGCTGTCAGCCAGGTACTTGACCATCCATGTAATTGCGCTTGCTGTCGTAACCTGGCCTGTTATTTTTTTATAATATAGTAATTAATAAGAACATGCACATGCAAACAGTTATTTAACAAACACGGAGTAGTATGCATGTAAGTCATACCTGCAATGATGAGCGTCAAGATGTTATCGAGAATAATCTGGTCGTCAGTGAGGAAGAGGTCCTCGTTCGAATTCGATGGTGACTGTTGTTGCAGTTGCAGGAGCTGCTGCTGCTGGCTCCTCCTCCTCCTGAGAAGAAGAAGGCTCTGCAGAAAGTCGTTGTCGTGCTTGCTGTGATGATGATGGTGATCGTCGTCGTCGTCGTCCTCCTCCATGTCGTCCGTGATCCGTCTCTGCCTGGAGGCTATCTCTTGCCTCAGCACGTCCATGATCCTTTTCCTCGCCCGGAGGCCCGCGTGGAACCTGGTGCCCGGCAGCCTGAGCGGGAACGCCAGCATGGCCCGCGTCACGGCCAGCACATCGCTCTGCAGCCGCCTCTTGACGTCGGGCTGCAGCGTCGTCCTCCCGATGAGCATGTCGCAGATGGCCTCGAAAGTTATGTCGAGCGCGGCGTCGAGCACGACCACGGTGCTGGAGGTGGTCCAGTTGCGCTTGATGAGCCTCCGCGTGAGGGCGTCGAAGTTGGCGGCCAGGGACGCCGTGGCCTGCGCGTTGAAGAGGGGCGCGACGGCGCGGCGCAGGGCACGGTGCGCGGCGTGGGAGGCGCACAGCAGGCTGTGCTCGCCGAGGAGGTCCGCGACGGTGCGCACGTAGCGCTTGGAGAAGCCGGCGGCGTGGTCGGCGGCCAGGAGCGACCTGGCGGCGTCGGGCGAGGAGACGAAGACGTGGGTGGCGCCGAAGAGCGCGGTGCGGAAGCAGGGGGGACCGTACCTGCGGTGGCGCGCCTCCACGAAGTGGTAGAAGCCCCTGCCGCTGCTGTTGGCGGACACGAACGCCAGCGTCTCCACCACGGACCACCACCACCCCCTTCCCGGTGGTGCATCTGCATTATTCTCGTCGTAGTCCCGACGATCATGATCATTCTTCCTCCTCCCTTTGAACCCTTTGAATCTGAGGAGTTGTCTGATGAGCCTATTGTTATTATTATTAGAGGTGGTGGTGATCACGATGCAGTAGATGGCTGCTAAGAAGAAGAAGAAGAAGAAGAAGAAGAAGAAGAAGAGGCAGGAGACGCCGAGGAAGCTGCTGCTGCTGTGGCTTTGGCAGGCTGGTGCTTGGAGTTGGCGGTGCATCATGTCGTCCATGGATCCGATCCAAGGCGCTTGGGCATGCGGTGGAATGGAATTCACCAGGGGATGGACGACTGTGACTCCAAAGTAAGTCCAGATTACTTGTACTCCTTCCTTGCTATAGTTCGTTCCTGGCCTAGCCACCGTTGAATGCTCGTGCTCAGTGCTCTGCTCAGGTCATCAGGCTGCTCATGGTCGACTACTGCTGCTGAATGAATGATGAAGATGGTGTACCATACTACTGCTCCTGCCTGCCCACCACTACCACTAGTGCCGTGTAAAGAGGAGTGTAGCGTAGAGGGTCGGTCGCATTCGCAATCACTCTGTCCCATACTCCCACTGCACGTCCAGTCCCAGCACTGCACAAACCGGAGCAGCAGTAGCAGCCACCAGCCACAGCAGGGAAGCTCAGCCACAGCTCCGAGCACGAGCAGCAGTAGAATAGATGCTGGTGCCTGGTGGTGGAGCCTGGAGGGGCCTCCTTTAAAGTTTATTTTCTATCTCATCGAATATTTAAATATAGTATTAAATATAGAAAAAAATATAACTAATTATATAGTTTGCGACTAATTTACGAGACGAATATTTTAAGTCTAATTAGTTCATGATTTGACAATGACGTGCTACAGTACGCATATGCTAATGCCAGATTAATTAGGCTTAATAAATTCATCTCGCGGATTACTGACGAATTCTGTAATTTATTTTTTTATTAATATCCGAACACCTCATACGATACCTCCATATGACACTTTAAAATTTTACACCATAGATTTAAACAAGTCCCCAGTCGTCCCGGGCTCCCAGCTCTGTCAAGCAAGCAAAACAAGATGGATGCTTTTCGTCAGTCGTCAGTTCGTCCCAACCACAACCATGGCAGCCTATTCGTTTCGGCTGAAACGATCGTGGATTATAAACCAGAAGTACTGCTGGCTGGTTTGGTGTGAGAAAAAAGAATACTGTTGCAGATCGTATAAGCCGAAACGAATAGCTGATGATTGTTCACGCATGCGCATCTGTTGTCATTCCACCTCCGATCCATCTGTCCTGTCCACACGCATAGCATATTAGCATTAGTTAGCATAGATCGGCAACACAAGATATTTTCAGCGTATGCGCTCTAACTATATTTATTTGCTCATCACACATGCCAAAAACACGATACGTTGCTTTAAACAACATCTTCCAGAGACAGCTAGCTGTACCATGCATTCGCAAAGCTATGCAAGTCACCAAACAGCACAGCACTCGCCGATTCCTTCAGCTCCCTCCCACAGCCCGCCACACTGAAACCAAAAGGGGAAGAAGGGAAAAAAAATCCACGAGATACAACACACGTTCTCACTACTTTGTCAACGACACAACAACACTGAGTGTTAAGCTGCGCAGATCACAAGTACTCCACTGCTACAACAGGGGCTACTTCTGTTTCTGCAGAATATCTGCTCAACAGGAGAGGGGGCTGGATTCTATTTGTTCATCGGTGGGTCGCAACCCAGGGGTGTTTAATTACCATTACCATCACCAATCCTGCACGAGAAAGCAGGAGGCACAGGATATATAGCCACACCCTACCGCCTCAGCACTGGCTTGCAAAGCACTACTGTCACAAACTTGGCCTTGAACCGGTGCGTGATCCCCAGAGCAACCACGGATCTTGTGTTCCCTTTCTCGATGTAAAGGTGGTTCAGAACCACAGTCTGAGGTTGAGGCAGCGGGCTTGATTCGTCTTGGCTTGGTGGGAAGCTCAGCAGCCAGCGTATGCTGCAGATGAGGTGGCACCAGTGGGGGCTCCCGCCCTTCATCTTCATTTCCAGGAATAGGGTTGCTGTACCTAGAAATCGGGTGAAGGTGGGACTTCAAATCCAACAACGTGGACCCCTTCCTGAATCATGGTTAGCCATCATAAGTTAGCCAAGAAAAATCGTATTGAAGGGTTTTCTATTTTTTGAAATTTGAGTCTCGTCACGCGACAAAATAATTCTGTGGCGTGATAGAGACTTAAATTTTAAAAAATAGAAAACCCTTCGATACGATGTCGGATGAAGATAATTTTTATATGTAAATTGTATACCTCGATGAGATCTACAACTTTATAGTTTTAATTTTTTTCATTTAAGGACAGTAAGATGCTTGAAAAAATAATATAAAATTTCAGCACTATAATAATCGCCCGGTAGCGCTTGCCACATTAGAGTACTAATATATTATTTGTATGGAGTTAAATGAAAATACTTTTTATACTAAAGTTGTAGCTCTCAATGAGATCTACAACTTTGTAGTTTTTAGTTTTTTCATTTGAGGACGTTAAGATGCTAAAAAAATAATATAAAATTTCGGCGCCTCCCGAAAATAGAAAACCGCTTTTGAAACCAGCCGATGACCAAATTTGTCCGGTTTTGATAGTTGGAGGGTGTTTCTTGATCGGTTTCATAGTTGAAGGTTGAAAATAGAACTTCGGCGCGAGTTGAGGGTTGAAAAGTGTACTTTACCCTTCTTTAAATAATCCTGCTCTGTAGGAGTGCAGTTAGTCATATAGGTCATGCTTGTACAGATCCAATAGGTAAAAGTTGTGTTAGAGTAGTCATCTATGAAGGTATGCGTATGCTGTATGCATTGAATAAGTAGCTGCAGACAATAGATAAAACTATGTCCGAGCAGCCATCTTTGCAGCTATGTGTATGCATTAATAAGTTAGCAGCAGCTATTTGCATAATCAAAACTTCAAAGTATGGCAACACAGTAATATGAAGATGCAAGAAAGGATGAGGCTCGTCTGGGCGAATAAGTAAGAGTGCTCACCGATGGGGTATGTGCGGACGGTGACAGCTTGACAATGTGCAAACAGGGCCAGGCAATTCTCGGGTGGTGGTGGCTGGTGGCCTCAGTTCCACGCCGGCCCACCGCTGGGCATCCTCCTAGCATGAATGCAAAGGTGAAGACAGGCGCGGCGTGGTGGAGAAGATGGCGCAGCTGCCCTCCCCTCAGCGTCGGGGAAGCGGCCGGCACAGATCGATTCTCTGGCATCGCGGGAGAAGGCGGCGGCAGCGAGGCAGGAGAGAAGTGTGGCAATGGAGGCAACGGCACAGCAGGGAGGGAGGAGGGGCCGCGGCGGCTCCCAGACCCAGACCCGAGCGACAGGCTTTACATCGCGTATAACAGAGAGCAAGAGGAATCAAATCATAGTAGTACAGAGGCTTACCCGATGCCACTGTTTGAGCTGCCGAATGGCTGGGCTGTACAGCCGCAGCACAGACAGCAGCTTAAAATCAGAAGCGAACGGCACCAAAGTCTACACACCTTGAGCTAATTAACAACTACTGGAGCAAGACTGAGAAAAGATCACAATGATATAACAAAAAGATTTTTCAATTCACATCCTCAATGTAACATTCCCAATATTAATACCGAATGATGTGAGATATTGCTAAGGCATGAACGATGCTTCAAACAATACAAAGGGATACATTTTCAGCTTGGAAGTAAAATCATTGAACACATTTTGAGTATGAAAAATCATGTAAAAGTAACAGGAACACGTTTTGACTGGCTAGTGGAATTACATCGTGAGTCACTGCAATATTCCAAACATAGATTGACATGAGATTGTTTATAAATTGTTATTATAACTTAAATATTAACAGTTCGAAATAGATGGAGTTTGATACTATTTCGTTTGTTATCAATAACCCAACAATAATTAAGTAGCAACACATGCCAGCAAGCTAGAATTTCATGAGAATTAACTTTTAAACTTTTGGTTAGCTAAAATTCAGTAAGTACTTGACTGGGCTGGCTTGATTCACTATTTTAATCTAAACGATAACTGACAGCATACATGTGTCAAGCAGAGCCTTCAAACACTGTTGTACCATAGGAAAGTACTCCCTCCGTCCCAGATTTATAGAAGATATTATTGACAATTGTATCTCTAATAAATAGGTTTATATACTATGATGAAAATATATGATGTGATTAATCTAATGATGTCTGTTTGTTTGGTATCATAAACATTACTGTTTGTATATATATCTCCTACAACTAAAAAGGAAAAAAATAAGATCGTCATTTCGTACGACAATCGTATCTCCATCGGTCCGCCCCACCCCTGCGATACCGCGCGTCCTACTCGCCCGCGCGCAGCCTGCCCTTCCTTTTGGAGAGAATTCCTTATTTGACACTAAGAAAATGAGTCGTTCCTTTCTTGGCCCTGAAATTTTCTTCGTTCTTTATTTGACCCTCACTTCAACTTTCATCCCTAATTTGACACTACCGTCAAATCCGTTAGCTAACGGTGTTAACTGGCTGTTAAAAAGACGTTTTTGCCCCTAGAAAAAAAACGGCGAAGCAAATTTGAGAGGAAAAAAAACCTGCGCCCGCCTCTGATGCATGCGCCCAGCTACAAAAAAAAGGCACAGGTTTTTTTTCCTCTCAAATTTGCTTCGCCGCTTTTTTTTCTAGGGGCAAAAACGTCTTTTTAACAGCCAATTAACACCGTTATCTAACGGATTTGACGATAGTGTCAAATTAGGGATGAAAGTTAAAGTGAATGTCAAATAAGGAACGAAGAAAATTTCAGGATAAAAAAGGAACGACTCATTTTCCCGGTGTCAAATAAAAATCTCTCTTGCTTTTTCTCTCGCTCCTCCTTCCGTGGCTGCCTGATACCGCTCCCAGCCCTGCACAAACACAGTCCCGCTCCCAGCCCTGCGCAATCAGTGTCCCGCTCCCAGACTGTCGCGGCGTGGAGGATTCCCTTCCGTGCTCCTCTGCTGCGCCTCTGTCCACGAGGAACCACGCCCGGCGCGGAGTCTTGGGGACGCAGCGACTACGGATGAGGCCGATCTGATCCGAGAAGCACGCGACGACCTCGCCACCACCACGACCGCGCCCTGCACGACGGATTCGCTAAGCCGAGGGTGCCGGCTGGGACGCGACGACACGGAAAACCTCTCGCCCTTGGCTCAACCGAGTCCTTCTACCCCGCCAAGCCCCTCGACCGAACCACGGCGACACTGCAACAACTCTCCTCGGCAGCCAGATCTTCCTGCGTCGCGCACACTCTCTCCTGCGCGCCCATCGGTGAGTCACCATGGTGCCCAAGCCATGTTCTATTGTTGACCGGAACGCGTGATTTCCTAACTGCGACATGTGCCAATTGTACTGTCAAAACAATTTATAAGAAGGCCAGACACTTCTCGATGATGATATTTGCATGTAATGAGAAAAAAAATTCAGGTGTCCAGATGAGGAACAGTGTAGGACCGTTGAACCAGAATTGTAATCCGATCGTTGAATCTTTACAAAATGAAGTGTACTTGAGTGGAGAGATTGGTTAACTGGTGGATCCCTTATGCTGTTGGCAGAATCTGCAAGGCAGACTTCAATGGAGATGTTTTGGAGGTACATTGAGGCGTTAACTGCACTGGAGAATGCCATTGTTTGGATATCTCTGCCTCTCAACTCTTCTGTTGGTCCATACTCTTAAATTTTTGTCCGCTGCAGTTCTGATATTTGGGCCGGTGATTCTTCTCCAGAACGCCTGCGAGCCACCGGGCCATCGTTTAAGCACCGCGTCCCCGGCTGTGATCCACCGACGGGTAAATATGTTGGCGGCGGGAACCAATCTGACGACCGCCGCCGCGCCCTGGCCAGGCCACAGCTGGCCCTGTCCAACACCCCCGGCAGGCCAGCAGCTAGCCCCGTCTGGCTACAGCTAGCCAGCAGCCGGCCAAAACCATAAACCCAGGGCCAGGCAGCTACGGTCGGCTAAAACCACATCCGGGCCTAGCCAGGCCATAGCCGGCACTGGCCGACACCCCCGGCCGGCTAGCAATGTATAGGTCTTGGGTAGATGTTTTTCTGTATATGATATAGCTTTCTGTTCTGCTCAGTTAACTCTTGTGGTCTATGAAAATGATAACTTCAGGTAGGTTTGGACGTGGGTTGCGGCACTGGTGTTCTTTCAATATTTTGTGCTTTTGCTGGTGCCACTCGTGTAAGTTTTTAGTTATTAGTTGCACACTTTGCATTTCTGATGATCTTATCAATGTAGGAAAACTGATGATTTTTTAATCCCGCACTCTACAGATGCTACTACATTCCTCGCATATGTGGAGGCGCAGATCATTCACCATTACATGATACAAGTGCAATCGACAGGGAGTGCCTTCAGTCCGAGAACCTCAGCTCATCACTGTTATTTGTCCGGCAACAGCTACGAAAAATGAAGAGCCAAGGAAAATCGAAATCATGTTGTTAGGAGAATGTTTCAGAGTACAACCAAAATAATTTTTGTAGACAAAAGATTTTGATTTCCAGTAAATCGAGTAAGCAATTGTGAACTTAAAAAAGGTTTAATTGTGCATGCCTTCAGTTCAAATCATTTGGATCAACCGTATCAAGGTTTTTGTACTAAAGTAACTGTTCTGATAATTGATGTTACCTGAATGAGAGACCAGAGCAGAAACTCTGAAACATAGTGAAACTTTCAGTAGTCACTTGGTGGGTCCTGATGAATTTTTAGTAGCTTGGCCCTGCAGTTGCAGGCACTTTACTATTCTTCTTGAGTGCTTGGCATATATTGTAAATAAATTAGTGGATGCACGGGCTGATAGTATGATTTTCTTAGCAATGTGCCATTCCACATTTTCTGAATTTATACGTGACGTGTACTATGAAAATGTGAACATGCTATCTTGCAAGGATAATTGTGAATGCAGATTGAAATCGAGATTCATTTTTTATATGTGCACTTTGAATACATTGATGGCAATCTACGTGGCCTATTGGTCTTGGTGATCCGTTCATGACCATCTTTTTCATTGTGCATACTCCAGCTTTATTCGTAGTGTTATTCAGTTCGTTCAGGTTGTATATTATCGACCTATTTAACTTTTTTTGGCAATAATGAGATTTGTTGGGCATATTATTTCATGGGCACAACATTGCTAAAAGTGACAGGTAGTGTTATGGACACGCCAAGGCCAACCGGTGATCGAGTACCTTTGAGGGACCTTACAAATACAACATATGGAGGTAAATAAACTTTTAAAATATCTCTACATATTCTATGTTCATATGTTTGCAACTCACGAAAATTTATTAAAGGGAATCATATGCGACCTAATGAGCAGAATAGGCAGAGGGATAGAGAACGGTATGCAATAATATCGGATGAAAAGAGGAGTGAAAGAAACAAGAAACGCCATGAGAGGTATAAAATAAATAACCAAGGTCGTGTTAATTCCCATAACAATGAGGCTGTTCATTCAACAGGTAAGGTGGTGTTGCTGAGTGTCACTTTAAAAGCCATATGTGTTATAATTAATAACAATTCATTTATACTATGTTCAAACTTGCAGATGGGAATACAACAAATGGAACGGACGAAAATAGTGACAAACTCCATATGCACTCAACCAACAGTAATGGCGCCAATGAATTATCAGGTTACTTATTCTGCTAATAAAAGTATTTATTGGTGCGGTGACTGCAATTAATGTGTTGACATAGTTTGCTTATTGTATGGATTAATTAATAACAATCAACTATATTTGAACTTGCAGATGGGAATACAACAAATGAAATGGACGAAAACAGTGACCGGCTCCATAGGCAATCACTTACAGTAATGGCTTGCAACAATTATCAGGTTACTTATTAGCAGAATAAAAGTATTTATTAGTGTGGCAACCGTAAGTGACATAGTTTGCTTATGGAATGATTCAATTTATATTGTATGGTTATATTTGTAGACGGTCTGGTACCTTTAAGCAACATTGGTGATGCTGGTTACGTGGATGGCATTGAAACGGGTACACTTTTGTATTCATTGCTTGGAATTCTGGTGAATCGTGCCCGTGTTTGTTTATTCCGATTGTGCTTAGACACCATCCTAATGTGCGTTGATTAAAGTGTCATTCCATGATATATAGGTTCAGGATATGCACCCAGTCCCATCAACCGGCTTGTCATGTGTCCAAATGAGCATAAGTGTGATCGTGACAGAGCACGATATGCTGCAATGTCTACTGAACAAAGGGCGCTACAAAGTAAGAGACGACGTGAATTGTATGCAACAAAAAATACACCAAAAAATACAGGAATGATGCTACAAATGACTCCAAAGGAGACTGCCTAGCCAATAGGTGTGCAAATAATATTGATTTCTCCGTAGCAATATCTTATCGTGGTGTTGTATGATACTTATTATATGAATAAATTTTTAGACGGTGCTGTCCCTTTAACCATTGGAGCACCTGATGATATTGACGACAGTTTAACTGAGATGGATATCGACACTTTTCA